TCTGCTTTTCTCCACACCCCAATTCTGCATGGCAAGAGCTATCAGGACTCCATCATGCTGTTCCTGAGATACTTATTTTTCTGGTAACCTCTCTTTCTTTTACTTCCAAATCTCTTTTTCCATTGGTTCCTAAATTTCAAATTTTCTCTAACCTGAAGAAATTTTGTGAAGGCTTCTTTCTTCAAGAGACTTTTCAAAACTTCAAAACTGTGAATAAGTGGGCAGTTATTACTTTAATTCAAATTAGTCTTTTTAGGAAGGATAAAAATGAGGTCCTCTTTTAAAAAAAAAATGACTCGTCCAATGTCATACTTACAGAAAGCACTTAATAGTTGCTCAGTAGTGTCATTATGGATAATAATATACCTATTTTGACAGCAGTTTGGTTTTCATTGTGTAGAAAAAGCAAAAGAGTAGGAAATTCTGTATCTTCACCAAATATTCATCACGTCTCATCTAATTCATTTCTTCTCAAATGCTAGTGAATACAAATTCCCAGGGAGTTTGTTAAAATGCAGATTCTGAGGTCTGAGTCTGGGTGGGGCCCAAGGATCCAGGGTTCCCTGGCAGGAACCTGGCAGCAGATGTTTGGCTGCTGGCACATTAAACCATTCCCCATCTACTTGGGAACACTGAGAATTTTCCAAGTGCTTTTTATTATTAGAGCCTTAGTTTTTGACCCTTGGTAGGGAGTGAGGCAACGTTTCCTAACTGGATTTCTTATATATTTAATCGTTTTTTTCAGGGCGTAATACTGATGATGATAAATCATGTTGATAGAAAGTTATTTCAGCTTGATTTTGTTATTAAAGATTCATCACTGACCTGCATAACAATGATCTTAACCAAAGAGAAGCCTGTGGTTCTTGTGGGGGTGAAAATGGTTGATTATAAATGCCAGTTAAAAGGCAATCATCAAACCACAGGGTATGTAAGATAGATGACCAACCGGAGCAGTGTTTATCTTAGACCTCCCATCACCAGAAAGTCAGAAACCTCATTTGTGGCAGGCCAGAGGTTTTCAAACATGAGACCACACTGGAACACCACTGGGGAGGTGGGGTGGGCAGTGAGGGCCGCTGGTCCTGCCCTCAGCCTGTCTGATCAGGGGGGCTGTATTTTGCATTTTGCATTTGCATTTTGAGAAGTCCCAGAAGATGCTGACACACCTGGGACCATGCTTTGAGAACCACTGTTTTAGACCAATTCATTCAGGAGTGGTATCTTAAGGGGCACTTTGCATAAAGTGGTTATATTGTAACTGCCTACCTGTGGGCTCCAGATGCTGCTTGATTTGTGAGTATTATATTAAGGCTTGTACTGCTACTTTACTTAAAATATTACTATTTCCACAGCACTTCTAAATATTATTTTATTAATGTGTTTCAGATGTGAGATACTCGCAGAAGAAATAGAGTGACGTAGTTAGAGTACCCCCCACTTCCCCTTTTCACAGAGCAGGACATAGAAAGAGCAAGACCTATCTCCATGCAGCTGCTCCCTTAAATATGTCTTAAGAGCCATCTTTAGTGTGTCATTCTTACTTACGAGAATATTCCGTGTGTCCATAACCAAGGAAGTGTATTTATTTGATTTTAAAGGCAGAGTGTTATGAGGCAATTGGCCTCTGAATCAGAGGTTCTGTGTTCCAGTTCTGGCTTAGCAACTCGTCATGTGACCTGGAATAAATCATAACCTTCCTTGAAGTTCAGTTTCCTCAAGTATCAGCTGACAATCAGGGACCAGCAGGCAGTGCTGAAGGCCGTTCACAGCTCTGAGTCCCATTTTCTTACCATTCTTTCTCCCATTCTTCGCTTTGTGTGTTTCAAGCATATTTGCATAAATCCCTGGAAAAAGATACGAATATATATATATATAATTAAAGTACTGAAAATTTTTAAATAAGTTTAGAAGTACTTTCTGACCTGTGTTTGAGCAATAAATACTGTCAGTCCTTGTGTGTGGGAATTCATGTCTGCAGTACTGGGTTCCAGGGCTGCATTATCCATCCCCCGTTCTTTTCAGGGAATTGCTTTAACCACATTGAACAGATGCCAGTACAAATATACAAATCCCGCTCCTGCGCTCACCGGCATGCGCTGTCGGGCAAGTGAGTTCATCGAGCAGGACTCAGAGTTGGGAGAACTCATCGCTGTCTCAGAAGGGTCTTGCACCCGGGAAGGGTGTGTGCAGAATGTGCGCACGGTTGGGGAGCCCTGGGCAAGCTTGGTACCCCCAGCCGTCAGCCCCATACCTGCCACCTGCTGCAGCCCCCACCACCCACTGTGCCTTCTCTCAAAGTAAAATGTAGCTGTAGAAATAAAAGCGCCTCTAACGCAACCAAACAGATACATGATGTCGAACAGGACTGCTCTGTGGGCACCTGATGGCTCAGAGCAGAGCTGGAGGTCGGGCACCGTGTGTGCCTCTAGCAGGTGTTACCTTTCCTGCCCTCTCTCCCTCTGGTCATGACTTGCGGTGCCTGCGTCAGAGTGTATGTTTGGTTCGGGTTATTGATTGATCCTCGGGTGGCTCTTTCCCGACCTCAGAGACCTTTGGCACATCAAGTCAAAGACCGGACTGCTTCCTGGAGTTTGACACCAAGGCCCTCTTCTTGGCGATCCCAGCTCAGTGCCGAGAGGCAGTCTCCACCATCTCCTGCTTGAATGACCTCGGGGCCTCCCTCTGTGGGGGCAGGTGTGGGGTGGGGGAGTGTCTGTGCTTCCCACAGCTTCTTGTTGCTTTACTGGTAAGTTGAAGCTTTTGAAAACAGCGCTGTTCAAGCATCAGTGTTCCTTCGAATTACTGGGGAGTCAGTAGATGGCCTCCTTAGGGGACAGAGGTCTGTGTCTTGGGGCAGGTGCTGCAGGCCAGGCAGCTCCCACTGAGTTGGGTTGGAAACATGGGGACCCCTGCTGTGGTGTGGGCTGGCAGTGAGGGAGTTGCAACACAGGTGTGCTATTGACATGTGAACTCTCTTCTTAACCTTGAGAGAAACAAACTACCGATTGATTTCCAAAAGCTTTGGCCATTCCAGAACCTATTTGCTGGTGCAGGTTGACTTTCACTGATTAAAAAGCAGAAAGGGGGAAAACCCAATGTGAAAAACAAAACATTCACTTCTAAACTTGAAACTGTCTGGGAGAGAAAGACAATCTCCCAGATTTCAAGTGCACTGCTCCAGTTTTCCAGCGTTTTTTTTTTTTTTTCCTTTTCTCTTCTTACTTCCAGCAAACCCAAAGTTCTTCTCAGGGCTTAATCTATAAATTTCCTGTAAGAAATATCTTAGCCAAGGGTTTAGATTAAAAAAAAAATAAGTTCAGGAAATCTGTTTTCAATGAAATACTATACTGAGGCCGATTATCTAAGAAACCCAAGTGTTAACCCACAGTTTCTCCAGGGTGGCATCATTATTTTTTTCACTTGCAAATAGCAGACCCCGACCATGAATATGGGAGGTGCAGCCTTTTATCCATTCCCCGCCCCACCCAGATATTTCTGTCCATTCCCCATGGAGATGGGTCTGCTCTGGGACCCCTTTTGGCTGGGGCTTGTCACCCTAGGAAGGCCCTGTCTCCAGCCTTGCTGCTCAGCATGCATGCCCCACCCCGACACCCCAGACACCATCCACTCAAGCTTTAAGTGTTAGGACTTTCTCACGGGAGGTTTATGGGAGCCCTGCCTGCCTCCCAGCTCTGTGTCCACCTGTGCCCTACCTGGGGTGCCCCTCTATGGAGACTCTCCAACCTGGCAACCTAGGATATTTCTCTCCTCAGCATCCTCCATGCATCTGTCACTTAGCTCTTAATAGAACTATTATTTTTAAAAAATAGCTTTATTTCTTATGCATGTATTTATGTGTCTCCAATTCCCGAAAGGCTGTCTCACTGAGGACAGAACTTCCATCTCATGGATCTGTTAGTGAATCAGCCTCCGCTCGTGCTTCCTGAGCTGCTCTCAGGGTTCCAGTGAGAAGAGGATGGCCCCCTCCAGTAGGTGGCTTAGGAGCATTAAAAAGGGGGGCGGGATTTATCATTTAAAAAGGGGTGGAGTAGTTCAGGGAAACCAGCCTGGGATGGATAAGCTCCCAGGGAGCTCTTCCCATCCGCAGCCTGACAGGGCAAAGCGAGGGGCGATGGGCAGCATCTGGGGAGAGCTGCTGCCGGCCTGCAGCCATCCGGGGCCTGCTGGACAGGGGCTGTGCTTTCAGAGGAGAGACGAACCGCTGCCAGCAGGACAGGGAGGAGGAAGAGACTGACTTCCTTTTCCTCCCACCCCCCACAGTCATCGGTGCCTCCCACCTTCCTCCTTGCATAAACCCCGCTAGAAGCCAGAGGATGAAGAAGCCCATGCAGCCCATAGAGGCCAGCATCTGGGGACAGTGCTGAGGGGGTGGGGGTGAGTGGGCAGTGGACCTAGAAGGGCAAAGGAGCACATCCAGGCTTCTCCTGTCCTTACATTGTGAGCTTTCTACCTGCTACTTGTCAGTCACCTCATGGTTTCAATAGGGCTGCAGAATTCCACGCTTCATACAGACCTTCCAGCCAGAGGTAACTAGGGGAAGGAAGGAGACAAAGGCCTGCGTGAATTGTATTTGGCCCTTTGTTTCCTGGAAACCCTACCAGCAGAATTCCACTTACATTTCATTGGCCAGAAATAGGCCTGTAGCTTTTCTTCTTAAGGCTGTAACACAGGAAGCCATCAATCCCCAGGGTAGTTCCCCAATGTTAGGCCAGCCGTCAGGGTCTAAGAATTGAAAGATGTAACAAGCCTGCTTGGAGGAAGTGGGTAATAAACTATAAATCAATGAATGAACACAAGAAACAGTGCTTGTGTTTGTGGTTACTGCACTAGACACCACAAAGATTTGCAAAATGAAGAACAATTTATGATCTTTAACAATCTAACTGGATTTTACAAAGAGAACATTATACTATATCTCATTATTATTTCAAGTAATCTGGCAGGGAGACTATTTGCATTCAGAATCTATCAAAAGGAGCATTATTTAAAGCAGAGCTTCAAGAGGCACTGCGAGATTTTAAGCAAGAGCAGAAACTGGTGCACAATGTTTTTGCTTTTCCATCAAGTTAGCAGAGATTGTCCGTCTGCCATTTGTGCAGGTGCCCTGGGGGAAATGCACACCGAACCAGCTGTCGCCTTGGCCTGCAGGGAGCTCACCCCCTTGCTGCTCACAGATGGCTGAACTGGATCCCATGATGCGGTGGGTGGGAGAGGGAGAAGGGGCGGCCACTGGAGGAGGGCATTCCCACTCTGAAAGGAGACACTGGCAGGAGTAAAGTGGTTACGAAGCCCCGCAGGGCAAGTTGCGTTAGGCTCCACGGGTTTGCCCCTGTGCCCTCGGTCTCCTGGCAGCAGAGGCCACCCCGCCAGTGGCTGAGCTGCCCTGAGTCCCTCGTCCTGTTCCTTGAAGGCTAAGCCGGTCCCCGGGCCGGCTCTCTGCAGCAGGCTTCCTGCCTGCAGAGTCGTGCACGTGGAGGGGGCCCATCCTGCAGCAGAGAGCCTAGGACCTGTGGCAGCAGGGAACGCCATCAGCTCCGCTGGCCTTCCAGCAGCTCTGTCCTGTGTCCTGGTGAGGCCCCTGTGGGTGGCGCTCTTCTCCATGTACATTGCAAGAGGGGCGGCCAGGCAGTAATGCTTGTACTGGATATTGAGCCCCCCTGATCCCAAGTCACTTGCTTTTGTTGCCTTTTCCGCCGGTGCCCAAGGGCCCATGCAACCAGGCTCTCCTTCCCTCTTCTACGTGTTAGGCCAAGTGTAATGCTTTGCTCCTCGTGGGTCCAAAGCCAGACACTTGATTTGAGAAAGATGCTCCTGAGCACTATAGAAGCCCAAGTTCTGCCAGGGCCTGGTTTCCTAGAGCTCGATTTCTAAAAGGCAGGGATTGGCAGAAGGGGCAGTGACAGGGCTTCCTGCCTGGCCACCCAGGGCTTTGCGGTACCACCCAGGGCGCTGTTGTGCCTGAGTTCCTGAGGCCGGAAGGGGTGTGTTGGGTGGACACATCGATGTGCTAGGAGTCTGGGTGGACCGCCAAACACATGCCAAGCCTCCCCAGTAGCTACGACACTAGCTTGTCCCTAAATCGGTACATGTCAACCCCAATGTGATAAGCAGGCAGTCCCCTCCAGATTAACCCTCCTGAGATACGAGCTGCCTCCATGTCATGCCTCCGAGGCTCATCATGTGCTTCTTTTGAGCAACAGTTGGCAGCTGGTCTCTCCTCTGCACAGGGCCTGCCTTGCTCTCCATCTGATTGGCAGGGGCTAGAGTCTGGAAGGGGGTGGGGAGGATGCAGGGAACCCGGGCATGCCCTGTGGACATGGTCACTGGGTGACTCCATCACCCTAAACACACCTCATGACACGTCCTTTAGGTCTGGGAAGGACCTTTAGGGCCAGAAAGTGTTAACGAAAAATTCCTCAGTCGATGAGTGTACCCTAGGACTTGGGGAGACACTTTTTGCCAAAGAAGCCCAAAGCTATGCTGGGTGGGGCAGCTGTGGAACCCCATTGTCCCAGCTGGCACGCCCGGTGAACTCTGGCTTAGGTCTTGCAGTCAGTGCCTTTTAATAAGATTATGGCATGGGAACAGATGCCATATATCCTGAGAAAAGATAGTTGTTGCTCTCATGAGACTCAAGTTCATATGCACCTCGAGGGAGAGCCCTCTGTGGTGGGGACACCCGCCCCTGCTGCAGCCATGTGACCCCTCGGGCAACAGCAGGACATCTGTCCTTGTGTGTCCTCATCTGTGCAGCGTCTGTGCAGTCCGGGCAGCATTGGTTGGAGCTTTCGGGGGAAGGCGGTGGGCTGTCCTTGAGCAGCGGGGCTGGAGCGTTCTGTGGCCACGCTGTCACTGAGCCCCTCAGCGTGTTCTTCCAGCCTGGCCCTGACCCTGTGATCAGGTTAATTTTCTGTGGTTCAGCCCCTTGGCAGCTCTTCCTGGCTTGGTTTCTGTCAGTGGCGCTATTCCTTGCCTTTCTCCAGGGCACCTTTTGCACAATTTATAATATTGTTCCTCTTCTAAGCTTCCTCTTGTCCACTCTGCTCGAATCAGCGGACGCCTGCCTTCTCCAAAGTTTCAGAGATGGTTGTAAGCCTTGTCAGGCCGGTAAGGGTCAGGCTGGCCGTACCGGACTACACTCTGTTGTCACAGCCAAGGGTGGGGCTTCGAGTTCTCTGCCTCCTGTGCCAATGAAAATACAGAGACTGTATGTCAGATATTTCAGGTTGTTCTCAGATTGATCCCAGGATCCTATCTTTTTACTCAAGGACTCTTTCTGGTACTTGTCAGTCATTTCTGATTCTTTTGTTTAATCACTTTCTTACACTTCTGTGAATCTAGGAGTGTGGGAGTCCCTTGATGTGGCTTAACCTGGTCTGTAGGAGCTGCTGGTATGATGATGGCTGGTGATAGCAATTTGAGGCAAGTGTTTTCTAACTTCTCCAGGTCTCCCTTTTCAAACACTTAAAATCCTGACCTTGAGAAAGTTTGGGACTTTTTTGTCACTTAGATAAATCTGAGCAATTAATTTTTTAATGGTTCCCAGGTCTTGCATCTCCACTTTTTCCTTTAATTCCTTTATGTTTGATCAGTTGGAAAAGATAGCATCTGAAAATATATGGAAAAAATTAGTATGTGGCCCAGGGACAGCTGGAAACCATGGGAAGAGGGGGAGTCACATTAGATGCCACATCGAATGCCATCGTGGCCCTTGCCACGGACACCGTTGTTGTTTGTGTTGGTCGGTGGCCTTTTGACGATGACAAGTATAACCTCTTAGATCTCCAACAGTAGGTAGTAGAAGTTGTGGGTTCCTCCTGCCTGGTCCCCAGATAATCCCACTTCCACCTGGAGGCCCCCTAGCCCCGCACCATTTTCCCCCCTCAGTTACACATGTATTGGTTGTGGGTCTTCTGTCCCTTTTCCCCAAATATGCAGTGGGTTCAGTAGTGAAGCACGACATAGAGGAGTCTTACTATCCTGTCGCCCCCACTGAACAGGGAAGCCTCGTGAATTTAGAAACTGGACATTTAACTCTCTGCACACATGGCCAAGTGCAGTAACTGGCGTGGAGCACCGAGATACATGGTGAGGATGTGCAGAGGCCCCCGCCCCATCACCCCTGCCCCCGCCTGGCCCTCTGGGACAGTTCAGGCTTGCCTGACCTTTCAGGGGCTTTTGTCTGCGGAAACTCGCAGTCAGCTCAGGTGGCCGAGCAGCGCAGAGCGCCGCAGATGGGGCAGCTCACTGAACAGGTGCTTCTCTCTCCCAGTCTGGAGGCAGGAAGCCTGGGATCAGGATGCCAGGGAGGCTGGTTCTGGTGTGGACGCTCTTCCTGACTTGTGGCTGGCCATGTCCTCTTTGTGGCCTCCTGTGGCAGGACGAGTGAGGCCGGGAGAGAGACAGAGCCCTTCTTATAAGGACACTAGTCCTCGTGGACACTAAACCGACCCTCACGACCTCTAGGGTCACACCCCAGAGGCCCCACATCAAGAGGCCATCACGCCAGGGGTCGGGGCTTCCACATATGAACTTGGGGGAACACAGACATTCAGCTCACAACATCCGAATGGACTAGAGCTGCCTACTACGGCTTCTGGGCACTTGAAAGGTGGCCAGTCCAAACTGAGATGTGCTGTAGAGTGTAAAATCTACACTGGTTTTCAAAACCTTAGTATGAAAAAACAATCATGTGAAATATGCTGTAAGTAATCCAAAGACATAATTTTTTTTATTGCATGTTGAGATGATACTATTTTGGATCTATTACATTGAAAGCACGTAATATTAAAATCGATTCCACCTATTCTTTAAATGTCTCTATGAGAAAATTTAACCTCATGCATGTGGCTGGTGATGGGTTTCTACTGAATGGTGCTGGGCAAATGGGAGGGGCAGGAGGAGTGAGGAGAAGGGACTGGGGAGGGGCCTGGGCAGCACCCTGCCGGCCGCAGGGCACAGCAGTGACACCCGTTCTGTGGGGCCCCGAGATGTGGCCCTCCCCGTTCACCCGGCTTCTGTCAGCACCGTGTCTGCAAGGTGGCTTGTCGCGACGACGACCGAGAAAGCAGAAGTCATCACTGCAGTGACGAAACAACACAACTGGTGATAAATGTGGTCCCTGAAGGTAGAGAATTCTGTCAACTTACTGATGGAGCTGCCTATAGATCTTAGCACAGAAATAAAGGGCAGGGAGTCAAAGGCTATGGGGTGCTGGCCTCTGGTCCCCCCATTTCTCAGCCTTCACTGTGGCCCTGCTGTTCTGTCAGGATGGAGACAAACCTCAGTCCTGAGCCTGGGGCCTGGGAGAAGGGGTCAGGAGTCACAGGCATCCCACTGCCCCCGGTTTTATTGCCCCTTATAGTCGGTGGGACACAAACGACTCCAGAGCACCTTCTCCATCTTGCTTCCGTTCTTCCCCCTCCACCTCCTTTTTTTACAACGAAGAAGATGAGAAAACTCAACAAAGGGGACTGGGCAGAGATAATCCAGAACAGAAGTGGGAGAGCAGGGAGGCATCCTTACCATTTTACAATTTTATTCTACAGAACTTGGGGCCGGTTAAGTAAGGGAGGTGGAGATAAAGCCACTTGAGATGTTGCCCCATAACTGGCATCAGATTCTCACCATTTGCTGGGAGCCGGTGCGAGTGGAGGAGTGGCCTGTCCCCGGGGGTGAGAGGGAGGCTCGCACGGCCTATGCAATGGCTTGGGTCAGGCTCCCACCGACCTGCGGCGGGGAGTCGCCGTCGTCATGTTCAGGTCAGGGCCTCAAAGCTGGAGGCGCTCAGGGCCTCCCGAGGCCACACCATGGCTCAGTGGCAGGGACGGAACTCCCAGGCCTCTGTCTCCCCTTGCTGCCTGCCAGCCCCAAGTGGGAGCTGCGCTGCCCTGCTGTTGCCATGACAGCGCAACATCCCTGCACATAAACAATAAGGAGGGATAGATAAGCCAGAGCTGCAGCCCCCACCGAGTGGGTCTGAGGAGCCCCTGGAGCCCATCCCTGCCACCGAGCAGGTCTCCTCCGGGATTGGGTGAGAGTAACGGGGAACCACAGGGCCACGGGAGGTGTGACCAGCATCCTGTGGCAGATGCAGGGGTGCAGGCTGTGAAGGTCTCCAGTCACACCCAGAAGCCATGTTTGGTAAGCAGTGTAGAGCCAGCTAAGATTTTGGAAAGATGGCAAATATGAACAGAGCAGGTGGCTCAGATATTTAAGTGAGGATGCAGAAAGTGGACCCAGGGATCTGCTAATCCAATGCCCCGTGCCTCAGACAAAGAAATACAGAGGTGACATGTGTCACCCAAGGTCACACAGCCAGGAAAGGGCAGAGGGACCCACACTGCCTTTATTCCTGGTGTGGGATGCCTCCCAGGCCCTGTTGGAAGCAGTGGCCACCAGACACACAGGGCTCTTTAGATTTACATTCATTAAAATGGAATGAAGTAGGCAATTTCATTCCTGAATCACCATGGCCACATTTCAGGGGCTCCGTTCACATGTGGCCCATGGGTGGCTGCTGCCCTGGACATTGTAGTTCTAGAATGTTCCTGTCACCATAGAAAGTACGGTTGGTCAGGGCGCCCTCCACCATGGCTGCTCTGCCTTCTGGGTCCAGGGCTGCTCTGTACCCAGGTCCCAGGTGTGACCTTCACCCCAGCCCCTGACACTGTGCCAGCCCTGGGCCACTGTCCATGCAGGGGCTGGCCAGCCCCGCCGAGGCTCCGCTCCTGCAGTCTCTGGTGCCTTCGGGAACAGTCCCGCCTTCACTTCTGGCCAAAAATCAATGAGGCTTGGAGGAAGACAAGGACCTGGTCTGACGGTGGCACCACTGTGGCCTGAATGTTTTGCCCTGGGGCCTGGGGCTGCCCAGGAAGGAGGGCAGGGTGAGGAGGGTACCCGATGAGCAGCCAGCAATCCCTGTCTGGGATTCGGGGAAGTGTCCTGTGGTGACCTGCCAGAGTCACAGATACCCTGGAGCTCATCCTTCCATGGAGCAGGCTGGAATGCTTGTCTCTGCCTTCCTTAGCCCCTTGTCCCAATAATGGTGATATGTCAAGCATTTTGGACATCGTTTGGGGGAGACAGAGTGTCTCCTGCTCATTTAGCTGTGTCAAGTCACTTATTCATCTTGTTCTTTTTGCTCGGCAGGTGGCATTTTTGTTCAGTGATTTTATTGGTAGTTGTGTGTGTTGACTATACCATATGAATCATACAGATTGGGATATTATTAATGAAAGAAAAATTGATTCTGTGACTGCCCCTGGGTTTGCTGTCACAGCTTTGTTAAAGCCTGCTCCTGGCTGATGCCATGGCTGCTGTGAACTGATACATGACAGTCAGGGTGAAGGTTGGGGACCGAAGCACCGAGGTGTGGTTGCTCTTCAGGGCTGGTGTTGACATTGTGTATTTATGTAAGAGTGCACATTTTTAGGACAGTATTGCAAAATCCTCTTTTCCTCCCCCCATGGGAATTTGCTCCATCTGTAGGATCCCCTACTGAAGCCCACTGAATGCAGTGCACGCCCACCCGACCGCACGTGGTCACCTCCTGTGATTTCCGGGTCCCAGCCTTTTGTTTTTCAACCCTTATTTGCAGAGCTGACATGGTGAATCTTTCTTCCTGTGCACATGTGCCTTTGCCTCATAGCTGCTCTTGAAACAAGAGGGGGGTGCAGCCAGCCTTCCAAGCCATGGGTGTTTGTCCTATGACAGGAGAGATGCACAGATCATTTAAAAATGTGCCCAATGCCCATTTCAACCCCCTCGCCCTTTTGTGAGCCCTGATTGCCACGCAGTGGCCCCTGTGCTGAGCGCACCCGGCTTATTCCTATCCGCCTGCAATTGTGTAATGTTTCCTACTCCAGCGAGCCAAGTGTGGGAACAGAATGTTTTTTGGAAACTTGGAAGTCACCCAGTGCAAAGTGGTGCCACCCCATCTGGAAGTGGGAAGCTTGCTAAGTCACACCATTTGTCATGAGACTTGGTTGACCCCAAGAAAAGAAACAGCTGGCTCCAGGCTCCCAGCCCCGCACCTCCAGGGTGACTGCAGAGTGCCAGGGGGAGGGGCAGGGAGGGGCTCTGGGCCGCTGCCACCTTCTGGGGACTGTGGGCTGTTGATTCGAGCAGTTCACCTGGGCTCTGCCCTGAGGCCACATGGACGTTGGCTGAGCCTCCTGGCATCTGGGGTCCCTCATTTTCTTTTTCGGTACTTGTGACTCCTGTCGCTACCCCTACATTGTCTGAAGCCTTGGTCCTCGCCTTGTACACCCCACTTGCATGGACTTTCACGATCCTCCTCCTGTGAGCAGTCCAGCTGCCCCTCCTTCACACTCTGTACCTCCAGGAACCCAGGGAGGGGGGCGGGGGAGAGGTTATTTTCCAGCCTCTTAGATCCCATCACAAATGAGACCCGGCAGAGTTGGGACACTTGCCGTGGGAGCTGTATGCATTTGCTGGGCGGCCCTACCAAAGGCCACAGGGCAGCTTAAACACGGCTGGTTATCACCCCGCTTCTGGAGACTGGGAGTGTGGGCCGCTTCCTTCTGGGCTGGAGGTAGGACCTGTCCAGGCCTCTCACCTGGCGGGACTCAGGTGTGTGTTGCTGTAAATGAGACAGTTAACAGAGTTTACATTATGTGTTGATTGCGGCTGCAGTCATTGGCAGATGGAAGAGCCTGGCCTCTTTGGGCCACCTCGGAATCACTGGGATCACATTTTATTCTCCTGGTCTGTCCCTCGGCTCCTGCCTGCTTCCAGGTGGTACCTTAGTCCCTCCACCAGCTGTTACAAACCAATAGTGTCCCCTCTGCTGAACACTATGCAGCATGTGCTACTAGCACGCAGGTGATGATGTCCCGGGACCCAGAGGGCCGAGGGGGCACCAAGCATGTGTGAACTGTGACCTCTGACCTGTTTGCCCCTTGTGCCTGGGTGGTCTCAGACTGAGCCAGGGTAGCAGAATGTCTTGGGAAGAGAGGGATCATCTGCCTCTGTGAGTGGCAGGAGGGAAAAGGCAGGGCAAGGTGGGGGCCTGGAATCTGCGGGCTGCGAGGGTTCTTCTGTGTACCCCTGCCTGTGGTGACTGCACCCCCTGTGGGAGGGGGTGAAACCTGTGCGTGGCTCTTGCTGGCTGAGGACCACTTTGCCCAGTCCCCGATCCCTGTACTGCCCCCATGCCGCCTGCGGACAGGGCTGACGTTTTGCCCATTGTTTTGGCTCTGTCTAAAGCAGGGTGGTTCTCCAGAACCAACTCCAAGGAGGAGGAAGGCAAAGCGCTGCCAGTCCTGGGGTTGGCTGGGAGGCCCCAGGGCAAAGCCGACTGAGACCTGGCTGTTCCCCGTAGCCCGTGAGGACGCAGTGCCTGGGGCTCAGGCTGACACAGCCATGCAGCGATTAGCAGTGAACAGAAGGCATGCGTGGATTACTGGTTGGAAAACAAGTGGTTGCACAGAGTCACGCCAACAGTGCTGAGCTCAGGGCGGCTCTGGGCGTGGCGCTGCCTGCCTTGTCGTGGGTTTTTCACTGCCAGCCTAACAGCGCGCCTCATGCTTCATGTGTGCGAAACAGGATCTAGATTCCCCCCCAAATCCACACCTTCCCTGGGTTCTCACACCCACGTTTTGCCCAGTTGCCACCTGGGAACCAAGCCCGCTCTGCCCTTCCCCTCACCTGCATGGCACCATGTGGCCCAGGCTGTCTCTCTCTTCAGACACCCCAGCCCTGCTGCTGTCTCAGCTCACCCGTTTGGAGCAGCAGCCTGCTAAGGGGCTCCCTGCTCTGGCGCTGTGAGACCCCCAACTTTGCACATAGAGGCCAGGGTGAGCTGCTAGACCTGTCAGATCCTGACACTGCCCTTCCTGAAGGCCCAGCCCCTGCCCCTCAGGGTAGACCCTGAGGCCCTTGCTGTGGGGGCAGGGCCCACCGGTCACTCCCCACCCACCCACCTGCTTTGTCCCTTCATGTCACTGGTCCCCATGGCACCCGTGTCACTGGCTGGCTGAGCTGACCTGACTTTAACTGCTTTACTTCCTCCACGAGTGCAAACTCTTGAATAGAAGGGCTGGTGTCTGCCCACATTCCTGGGAGGATGCTTTGGACACAGAGCACCTTGTAGACACTTTGGGAAAGAGTGGAGGCCACCTCCCATCATCGGGCAGGTCCACGCAGTGAGTCAGGAGCCTGCCCTCGGAGCCCTCCGTGCCTGGCAAATGCTAAAGGCCCAAAAAATGCTTGTTAAATGCACATGAAATGCTAATAACATTGTTCCCTTTTAAGTCTTTCAGAAGAACACTGCTCAGAGATCTTTTAAGTTAAATTCTTATTGTCCAGGCCACCACCTTTGGACTTACAACTTAATGTACTTTCTTAAGACTCATTATCAAGGTGGGCTTTTAAGTTTTAGGAGCACATTCAGTCTTTGAAGCTAGTAAATTTCTTTTAAGTCACATGAGAAAGATCCACCCTTCTGAGGAGACTCCTGGCCCACCCCATGGCCCTTAGGCTTGCAGGGTTCATCTGTGACTTACCTGCGAGAAAGGAGTGATGGTAGCATGTGGCCCCTGCCCTCTCACTGCTTCAGCCAGTGTTAGAGGCCCCTGTGTGGGGTCCAGCTGGTAGGAACTCGAGATGCCAGACTCCCCCAAGGCCTCACCCCAGAGGGCAGTGATGGCTGTATGCTGACAGACAAAGCCCAGGATGGGTCAGGGCTTGCCTGCCCCTTGCAGGGGTGATGGGGGCCTGAGATACTCTCTGAGTCAGCCATGCTTCTTGGAGATAAGGACAGAAATGGCCTTCTAGGGCGAGGAGGTGCTGGACACCGACATAGGTAAAGGCGTAGGGGAGGCACCTCGGGGTGGGAGAGCAGCCCGGAGCTGGAGCCAGTTCACATGCTGGAAAATAATTCCCATGCCTGTGAAAGCAGGACAACACTTGAGTGGCTGCTCTTTGCCTTTGAACCATCAGCTGGCTGCAAACCCTCTGCCAATGTGCATGATGGGCAGGGCACAAGTCAGACCCCTGGCGAGCCGCTAACGCTGTTCCTCGCGATGTCCTAAGGAGCGTGGTCCGGCGCTGTGCCCCGTGCACCTCCACTTGCGCACCTCAGTCCCGGAGTAAGCTGCGGTCTCAGCCTGATCGATGACTGCGTCCCTGTTGCTCCCCAAAGGTCCCGGTGTGGCTGATGGCCACCTGTACCAGAAGCGCCGAGGAGTCTCACTGAAAGTGTAGATTCTGAGTTCTATCTCAGATACAGTCATCAGAACCGCAGCATGTAGCGTCAGGGATGTTGAATTTTGAACAAACAGGTATTATGTCCGAGAAGCAGTTTTCTTCTGTGGCTGTGGAAGACAGACATAACCATAGGTCACACACACATTTTATGATGAGAAGGTGTGAAATCCCGAGGTTAAGGGAAAGAACGATGTTTCCTGCCTTCTAGCATTTTCTCCTTACAGCTGTGTTGCTGGGAGGATTCAGGCTGGAGCCCAGGTTCATTGCCATCCAGTGCCCTCAGATGGCGCTAAAGATGCCCACCCCACAGCCACCCTGGGGTTGCAGAAATCAGGTGCCTGGGCAAGTTAGAAGGCTGCCCAGGCACTGGCTCTTTTTTCCATGATCATCATTCCGGTGTTTGTGGGTGGGGCTGTGCTTTCCTGCGTTTATATTTTACTTCAGTGACCTACCATATGACAAGGAGGTGACTTGGGCACCAGGTGGGTGTGTGGTGGGGCTGCATCTGCTTTAATACACATTTCCCTGATGCGTAAGAGGCCAGGCATCTGGTACAGGTAGGGGTTAAATGACAGGCTGGGAGTTCACGGAGGCTGAGAAACCAGTCTCCTGACACCTGCCTCTTCTGGCCTCATTACTGGGCTGGACATTCCCTCTAATTATCCATGATCACGCTCCACCCAGAGTGTTCTTGGCAGCCTATCTTGACACGAAAGCCCACGTCGCAGAGGCCCAAGCAAGGCTTTTATTTGTAAACTTGGTTTGGGGCTCTGTCTGCAGGCCAGAAACTTGCCCTGCTTGCGGCCCAGGTAGAGTCCTTGCTAATAGTTCCTATTTTCTTGGTGACGGAAAGAACATAAATATTGTTGGGGATAGATAGCAGAGTCATTCCTGAGAAAGTTTTAGAGCAGAAGCCAATGAACTTGGATATGTCTAGGGTAAAGTGGCGTAAAACTTTATTTTTTTCATTTGATGAAATGTCAAGGCAGTGTTTGGTAGCCAGGCTGAAAAACCCAGTAGGAAGTCACTATGTCAGCAGTGAAGTCCTTCTTAGTGGAACGTCTAGACAAGCCTCAGGGTTACACATCTGGAATTGCTTTTATTAGACCAGTTTCTTTATACTGAGTGAATTTCAGAATTTGTGATAATTCAGACACCAACTGACTTAAGCTTGAATTTCTCACTTTCAAAGATTCAAGATTTGTCAAGAAAATATCTAAATTATCTGGCAGACAATGTGTTTCCAAGTCCTTTAAAAACAATGTTGAAGTGTCCCAGCAGGAATGTCCACTGATTAAAGGCCCCCACGGGCCTTGGGTATGGCTGACAAAGCAGAAGAACTGGGTCAGCGGCAGCCGGGGCCCCCTGGTCACCTGATCCCTCCCTGCTGTTTGCTCACCTGCCAGGTGGGAGGGCACTTACTTCAAAGGCGCCCAGTGTCAGTGTTTAAAGATACCACCTGTGCTTCAACACCACCTCCAGGAATTCCGTCAGCTCTGGGCAAGTGCGGAAGGGCATTGCCCATTTCTGCCAGCAGTAATATAAATAGCACTATTGTGCTGAGTTGATATAAAATTGGCAAGAAGCAAATAGATTGAGAACGATAGGACTGAACACAAGAAACAGGCGTCCTTACCTGCATCCCTCTCCGCCTCAACGACCCAGTCCCAAAGCGGGTGTGTGTGTGCGGAGGGCTGTATGAGCTTTGTCCTCCTGCGTTAACGTATTTTCACAATTTTGACACCTTCAAGCAGCACGCGTCATCTCACGGTTCTGTAGTCCAGGATGCAGGCCTCCCTGGGTTAAAATCGACGTGTCAGCCAGCTGTTGGCCACACTCCCCACCCACGGGCCTCCAGAGCCTGCAGCAGTGCCCCCCAGCCTGCTCCCAGCACGCCTTTCTTGGATTCTCCTGCTCCCCCTGCCCTCTGAAGGGCCCTCACCAGGCTCCGTTCCTCAGGTCATCTGATTGGCAACCTTAAGTCCATCTGTGTTGTCTATTCTCTTTTACCACGTTACCTAAGATATTCACAGGTTCCAGAAATCAGGACGTGGATGACTTCAGGGGGCATTATCCTGCCAACCACAGGGAGCAACCTTTCGTGATTCATTGAGACAGAAACACCTTGTGGCTTTGCCAAAGCAGCGGCAGTGGCCAGCCAAGAGCCCCTGTGCCAGTGTCTGTCTTTAACACTAAGCCTCTTGCTCCAGAGGCATCCCCAGGGCCTTGCCTATTGTTAAATCTCAGGTTATTACCTGCTTTCAGTGGGTGATGTCAGTTCATCTTTGCTCCACCCCCATCTGAGCCTACGAGGTTCATCACACAGCCCTAGTGATGGACACCCAAGGTGGGGCTGTGGCTCCCCAGAAGAGTGGCTGCTAGGGCAGGGTGCGCTCACACTGAGAGGCACCTGCCTGCTCTGGGGGCATCTGGCTGAGTCTCCCAGCAGTGTCCTGTGGAGCACATGCTGGGCCATGAGTATCGCGTCCTCAGGGTGTCAGCACCGCAGAACCGGGGGCTCCAGCTGGTGGGGCTGGGGGAGCTGCATGTAAACAGGGAGTGCAGGAAACCCGGGAGGCTGTGTTTATTGGTCCCTCTCCTTCAAAAAGCATACTTGGATATGCTGTCACCACCTCTCCGGGCAAAACACAGGCTTGGGGTAAGGGGGGACTTGCCTGACCCTTGGATTAAGGCCAGTATGAAACCAATGTAAGAAACCATGGTGTGCGGTAATGCGCAGGTAGCGGACCCTCAGTGTGGTTTTGGTAAGGAGGGGCTGGGTGGGATCAGCTATCCTTGCCGCCAGCAAGGACTGACCGCCTTCCAGAAACCCCTCCCCTTCCCAGACAGCCTCACAGTCTACGGGTCTCTTTCTTTCGCTAGCAGGTAAGTTTTTCTAACCTTTTCGCATAAAGTTCGTGGGCATTTACCATATCAGTAAAAACCTGTCCCCAACAGAGCGGTCTCCCCAGACAGCCCAGCTAGAAACTGGTGTAAGGGAGAGGGTTCCCTGGAGCCTAGCAGGAGACAGGCCTGTGTGTGGCTGGGCCTGGGAAGCACCCCATTCCTTTCCTCAGTCTCTGCCTCCTTCCTCCTCCTGCCATCCTTCTGTCCCTGTCTCTGTCCCCGTCTCTGCCGCCTCCCTCTGAGCTCCGCAGACCCCTCCCTCTGCCAGGCTGCCACCTGCCATGCAGCGGCCTCCCCAGCATGGAGTCCTCAGAGCCTGAACCTGCCAGCTTGGGGTGATCTTCCAGGCAGGGTGTGGCCTGGGGCCAGTGTCCACGATCCGTCCACGGCCGGCCAGCACAGGGCCCAGCGTGATGCGGCCGGCGGGGCCGCTCCGTCCCACTTACCGGCGTCAGAGCCCCTGCTCCGTGCAGCGTCCCGTGAGCCCCCAGTCCTGTCCTGGACCCCCACCGCCTCTTCCTCCTTGCAGGACGCTCGGCCCTGCTGTGTTGAAAAGCGTGGAGAGAGCCTCCCCAGCCCTCCTTGGCCGCCGGCCGGGTGCCTGCCGCACACCCTCATTCAGAGAGTGATGGGGCCAGCGGGCCGGGCTGCGTGGGGCGGGCCCTTTCTGTCCTGTTTCCCCGCTGCAGGAAGGCCTTCAACTCTGAGATCCTTTGTCACCCCCACACCGGGGAGGTTCAGTGGGCACAGTAAGTTCACCTGGTGTGTAGCTATAAATAATGGCTGGTCCTTATGTTTCAGAAACAACTAAAGAAAAAAAAAAAGCATAGCACTTTGTATTTAAAAAGAGCCACAAAATAGAGGGTGGGTCTTGGGGGCCCTTCTACCAGCACCTTCAATTTACTGCTGCAGAAAAGCAGATTCTCAGCATTTCACACTGAATTAAGGCAGAAGAATGAGATGTTTTATTAAACATTAAAACATTTAACGTCTTCATAGGTATATGCAAGTAGGAAACCTGGGAAAGCTGCAGTGAAAATAGGCCCCTTCTCCCAGCCAGGAGGCTCCTCCCCTCCCAGCCAGCAGGCCCCTCCCTTCCAGCCAGGAGGCCCCTCCATCCCAGCCAGGAAGCTTCTCCTCTCCCAGCCAGCAGGCCCCCCTGCCTCCCCACCCTCCCAGACAAAGGGCCCCACCCCTCCAAGCCAGCAAGCCCCGCCCCTCCCGGCCAGGAGGCCCCTCCCTCTCAGCCAGGAGGCTCCTCCCCTCCCAGCCTGCAGGACCCTCCCCTTCCAGCCAGCAGGCCCCTCCCTCCCAGCCAGGAGGCCCCTCCCTC